AATGTTTTCCGTAGTGAGAAGAACGAAAACGTAAGGCGTTTGTATAGAATTGAAGAGGTTCCTGACGCCTTTCCCCATATTTTGCATTATGGCCCATTTGAGCAATAATTCTACCTATGTCAAAAGCAGAATCATTCATAGTGAGTTCCTTTTCATAAATCGAGATTGCTTGTTTCAGAAGAGGCTGTGCCTGTTCTCTTTCATTACGGTCTTCTGAGAGGTATCTGCCATAGTGGTTCAAATAGAACGCTTCAGACAACCTGTCTCGTTCGAAATGAGAGAGATTGCCATCGTGCAGTTCCTTGGCTTGGAGAATGAGATCTTCTAATTTTTGCTCATAATTCCAACTATATTTCCTTTTTTCATGATACAGAAGGCACAAAATTTCCACTTGTTTGGTTATCTTCCCTTGACTTTGACACAACTGGAGAAGACTCTTCAAAAATTTATCATAAAGTTGAAAGTGAACACAGTATTCAATGTAAGGTGCTACTTGTTGATACTCGTTCATCACAGCTTCCATTTCACTGCAATGTTGGATTTTCTTTTGACCGGCAATCTCCCTCAGGGTGGATTCAAGATTAATTCTTTCTTCATTGAAAAGAATAAACGACTCCTTACATGTGTCCTTCCCCCAATATTTCCTTGCGTTGCTCAAAATCAGTGACAAAAAGTGCCTCAGAAAACCGTGCTTGCCATGAGATAAATCTGGCAGAATTCTTCCTTTTTGCCAACCTGCTTTGCATAGCTTCGAATCAGTAAGTGAATGAGGTATCGGTCGTCCTGTTTCTGGATCAAGCACCTTTTCTTTAAATTCATTAGGTCTGCAGCACAGTTATCACCAAGTATTACTTCTGCTGCATCTCTTTTGAAAGACTAAGGAAACACTGATAAACGCACTAAGGCACGTTTTAAAGAGTCGTCTACTTTTTCGAAAGCTATCTCCATCATTTTCTCGGCACCAAGAGTTTTTGCTGGGTTCTGCTCAAGTTTTTTCTTAAGTCCTTCAAAAGTGTATTCAGATTCCTTCGCAAGGAGGGGTCCTGCTAGTCGAAGATCGAGGGGAATGTTTTCACAGAGTTCAGCTATCTCGCGCGGTTTGACTTCAGTGTCAGTATTAGTGTAAGACGTCAAACGCGCACCATTCTTCAGAACTTCTATACTTTCCTTAACATCCAAAGGACCAAGACTTATATTAACCTAGTAACAGTTGACACTACAGCTGCCCCCGTTCTATATATTGTTGGTCAATAGTATTCTTGCTGGTTGTGTAGGTCTTTGAAATACACCGCTTCATAATGAAGATTTTCACTCATAATCCATACAATAGGTGAGATAAATACAGGAAACGCAAGGTTCCATGCACAGTTTCAGCTCAATTTACACAGCTTTGACCAAACCATGCTCAGTTTCGAGGAAAGTTTATTCTAAACCATAAGAAAAGATTTAATTAGAAGTTGGATTTTTCGCTATTTCTCTTTCACTTTTTACATTCAATTCATTTTATGTGCCGGAAAGTAAGCCTTAGAAATTAAAAGGACGTTTGATCGATTCACGCTCGCGCATTTTAGTCTTATTTGAAACTTTATAACGGAAGGACATCTGTGAGCAGGGAATAAGTCAGCATTGAATTTGATTTGATTTGATTGATTTGATCACTCGTCTTGCTTGTTTGGGGCTGAGTCTTATTCCGGTCTAAGAGAGAGAAAGAGTGTCTGGCAAGGTTTCCAATATAAATCAAAGATTTGTGAACTCGTGTCGGGAAAACTCTCCAAGTGCTTATATATACACAGTTAAACGCACCTTATATCCTCGTCTGCGCTTAACGTCTTTTGGTCCATAACTTTCAAAACAACTGCTCCACAGAATGTCACTGCGTAACGCAAAAGAGTATCGAAGTATGACTGCACAAAAAATGTCACAACATCTACCTGAGCGGTCCCTTCGGGATTTTCTGTCTTTACGTCATCCTAACCATTTTGTACTTGCGGGCGCAAACAATAGAAACGTCATCATTACATACCGATTCCTCGCGGCCCCTGTTCAAGCAAATCGAGAGTTTTTCTAGTATACTGACTGTATATTTGAACTGTAAGTACTGTCCTTAATATGCGCGCGAGTTACTCGGGTGCCTCCTGGGGATTTCGCCTCTGGGCGAAATCCCTGCGGGGGCAAAAACTGAATGTTGGAAACCGCTCCGGCAATGTCCGAACGTCTTGAGGTTACAAGAAACTTTATTTTACAATCAGAGCACATCCTCATATCACTCACCAAGTTTAAAAAAGTGTAGTCACCCCGATCGTCTATAGCATCTTCTGCATTATCAACAATGAGGACCAACTCATAGTCAAGCCGCCTGCACCAATTGAGCAAAACATACTTGGGGTACTCGCTGCCTTGTTGATGGCCTGGAACACACACATTTAGAATTTCCCTCAAAGCGCCATTGTCTTCACTGCGCCCTTTGTAAGCGCCTCTCAAAGAACAAAACCTCACGATGGCTTCAAACTCATTTTTTAGCCGATGCCCAGCTTGAATGGCAACCGTGGATTTTCCTACTCCAGCCGTTCCACTG